TTCCAAGGTATCTGGTACTGGATAGTTTTATTCTAATTTTCCCTTGCTTTCTTATTTCATAAACCACATTTTCACCACATTTTCAAGTTGGCCATGCCCACCTGGTTACATGACCGCCAAGCCACTCCCACAAAACAGGCCACACCTTCTTTTGGCTCTCAAAAGAAATTTCAATCGTTGTACTGTTGATATTTGGCTCTGTTGACTAATGAGTTTGCCAACCACTGGCTTAACTGAATGTGTCAACTCTGCCATATTAAAAAGGATAGAAAGATGAAATGGGAGATAGTTCAACACCTTCCTTCTTTTGCCTCTCAACCTACAGCTTTCATTCCTTTTTTGCAGTTCTAGTAGATATCTAGAAGTCCATTCTGACAAAAAGCCTACATCAGTAACCAGAACCCTTTTACGATGTTGTTAATCAGAAAGATCTCAATTATATTCTCATGGCAACTAACTGTAATAAGCTAATGATTAGGTATGAGCCTACAGGTATATTATCCTTAATGAAATGTTTAACATTGGAAGAATCTAACATATAAATGGCTGTCTTTACAGAACGTAACCAAAGGGATTTATTATGCAGTTAGAAAATATGTTAATTTATTTATTTTCCCGTCCTTAGGGTTAGGACAAATTGCAGTATGAAGACAGATGTAACAGACAAATATAACACGATATGTGAATAATAAAAGGTGCATAATGAAAGAATATCTGCATAGTTTCATCAATATAAATTCCTTACCTAGGGTTCTGCCTGCAGGGCAAAGCCTACGCATAATGATCTCCATATTCTCTTGCAATATATTATTGAATAAGACTTTAGAAGCTGGAATGCGGAAGAATTTTTTCTGGAAGAAAGAATAAAAATAATGTTGACATTATTAAACAGTCTTTTTTTCCCCAAAGATTTCATTTTGGAATGAGAACTGAAAGTCATAAAATACAAATTAATTTTATGTTTTAATAAAAGCTTTTTATTTTGTTTTCTCCTGTTTGGTTACTGTTTGGTACTACAATCAAACAGGTCAGACAGAGACTTCAACAGATAGTTAGGACTGCAGGAAAAACAATTGCAACCAGCCTGCCTTCCATTGAGGACCTGTACACTGCACAGGTCAGGAAGAGGGGCTGAGAAAATATCCACACAAACCGTTTCAACTTCTCCTATCAGGACACTGTTAGAAAGAATTGCATCCCAAAACAACTAGATACAAAGATAGTTTTTTCCCTTGTGCCATCATTGAACACATAATTACCATAGTATAGTCTTATTTCTAAGAATATTTACCCATGGCTATATGGGTAATACAATAATACAGTATGGCTGTATTAGTATTATCATTCTAATCTTTTCNCACCACCACCACTGGAAGACATGAAAAACATAACCAACAGTAGTTTGTTTCAATTTTCAGAATAGGCCTGAAAAATCTTAATATCTTAAACTAGTAACTAAACCAGATTATACAAAAGAGGAAAGTGGATTAGCAGGAATGTAACCCAAGACCAAATTTAGCCGCTTAGATTAAATGCACTCTCTTAGGAAATGCATTAAAACGCAACCACGTGCATCACTTAATGAAAGGATTTAGTATTAAATTTTTCCCCGTAATTTAATCATCCCCTAATGTATGCCTATATCACATCTTTGATTCAAATACTATTACTTTAATGCATGTGTTTTATATGCACAATCAGGAGCATTCTAGTGAGTGGGCATTACAGCTTTAGCTCCTGGTTTTTTCTTCTTTCTGCATAAAAGAAATTGCTTCATTGTTTTGGAATAATAAAATATAAAGCTGACTGTATTTTAAACACCCAAACTAAATTGTAAATGGACTTACTGCATTGAAATAATTACAGTAATTATATGGAAACCATGTAGTACTGGTGGAGATCCTTTGCATACAAAAGCTGTAGCTGTATCTCTTTTAAGCATATTTTGCTTTAATGAACTTAAATCTGTACTTCCTAGTTCTTACCCTTCTTACATCGAAGTCCTCTGATATGACAGCAGTTAAACTGGACTCAGAATAGCTTATGAATCAAATATAGGTGGTCCTGGTTTAATGACCATTCAAACTTCCTGTGGCACTGAATCACAGTCACAGTAGTCATGTCACCCAATCACAGTCACAGTCAGACTGTGATTGGTGACCTTCCCTACTGGCTTTCGAGAAGCAAGTCAAATCAAAACCTGGCAGAAAGTTGCAAGTCATATGAGGTTTTCACTTAATCAGTCATGGTGGTACAGTAGTTAGAATCAAGTATTGCAGACTAATTTTGCCCACTATCAGCAATTCGAACCTGATGGGCTCAAGGTTAACTCAGCCTTCCATCCTTCTGAGATTGGTAAAATGAGGCCCCAGCCTGTTAGAGACAATACGCTGACTCTGTAAATCACTTAGAGGGGGCTGTAAACCTCTATGAAGTGGTATATAAGTCTAAATGCTATTGCTAACGACCTATGATGTCCTCACTTAACAATGGCAACAGAGACTGCCAAAACTACCATTGCTAAGCGGTGTGGTCACACAGTGTTTCAACTTGTGACCATGTTGCTTAATAATGGAGCTTCCAGTCCCAATTAGTATCATGGAGAACTACCTATAGAGCAGTTGTGCTTACACCTCACACAAGAAAAAAAATAGTTTAAAGGATTGTGAAACATTCAGGATTTGGGGTGGTTATAGAGATTAAGAATTTGGATGCAATAGTAGTATAGTAACTTAATGTTCATTAAATTATCCTGAAAAAATGTAAAGAAATTTCAAAGAAGAGGGATGGGTTTTCTGTAGAGAAAAATAGAACACATCCCATTTAAATATTATACTCTCAGGTAAGTTCTTTATTTATGAACATGATAGAAACATACATTAAAAAAAAACTCTTCTGCTTATTTATTCAAATAAAGGTAACCTTTGGATCTTCTCAGCAGTTAGATCTCAGATACCTTCCGCAACTGTAGTATCAAAAATTTGATAGCAACGTCTGTGTTCTGTTCCATCTCGGATATAGTAAGATTTGATGAAGCATTCAAGCCATGGAAAGTCATCTATAAATGAAAGACAAATGAAATGAGAGGGATTTTTTTTGTATATTGTACTTAATCAATATGGCCTATTTCAAAATAGATTTTACAAGGCTGGAAACATTAACTGAATGGTCAAAGTACTTCACCGGAGTGTCACCTTGTGAAATAAATGTAGAAAATAATTAGCTAAAAAAATCTCATCATAAAATTCATATATCTCAAATGACAGTTGTGATTGTATCAGATATTTGTCCTTATAAAGAGGAAAATCTATTTCTTAGCATTCCCGTTGCATGCCATGAATTCAATTGCAGTCCTTGCTCTTACAGAAATAACTTGTCGATACAACAAAACATTATGCAGAAGCTAGCTTTTGCCCTTAATGGTCTGTCCTCTTCCTCAAAAACATCACACATCTTTAATTCACAAACACAAAATATATAGTGCGGCATATAAACTACTTTTGCAGCAAACAAGACTAATCCTGCTGGCGAATGCACAGATTGCATTTAGGTTTATAAATCTTTTTGTGAGGCTTATGGGAAGAAAAGCATTTATAAAGATTAGAAAAGACAACTTACACCATCTGTGACTTTGTTTGAAGGGACAGCAAATCATTTTATGTGTGATTTTGTCTGACATGGTTAACATCTCACAATGCAATGTAGTTCTTATATCGAACATAATGGAAGTGTGACATAAAAAAGAATAGGACTCCACTATTGAGAATACTCCTTTTCTCCAATGCAACATAGATCTTCTCTTGCAAAGTTTCTATATATTCACTCTTCAAGATTTATCAACTTTACTGAAAATCAAAGCATATGTTTTGCTGTCCCAAAGGCCTCTTCTATCCAATTAGGCTTAATCTGCCATGTCTTCATCTAGTTTTCAAGTATAGCAGCTCTTTTCACTAATTAGTTTTATGGAATCCACATTTCACTGTCATGTCTACCAGTCCTTCTCAGACTATAAGTCAATGATTTGGTATACTGTATTTTTCCGACTATAAGGCACACATTAGCTTTAGAGGAGGAAAACAAGAAAAAAAATATATCTGCCTCTACCTCCCAGCATTCATCTGGCTAGCTTCCTTGCAGCAAACAGTCTGGTCAGCTTCAGCACATTATTGCAGTCCCAGCACATGGCTTGTCAGGGCTCTGCTCCGTTGTGTCCATCACCGGTCAACTGAGATGAGCTGCCCATTTAAAACGATTGGTGGCGAATGGGTGGTGACAGCAATAGGGGGCAGTGATCCCCACCTGATCTGCGCTGCAACACCCCCCTCCCCCCCGCCACAATATTCGCTCTATAAGATGCACAGACATTTCCACTCACTTTTTCTTGTGG